GTTGTGCCGTTGCCAACCCGGGCGACAGGCCGTTACTGTTGCTAATATGCAACTCTGTTCACACAGCTGGAATTGCACTTTAGCAATGGTGACGGACTGTGCGCACTGCCACGCGGCGCCGGGCACCTACTTGGACAGCACGCGCAGGGGGATGACCTCCTCTCCCATTCTGTGCCTCTCTTTATGCTTTTTCTTATGCTTCCTTTTTGCCTTTAAGAGGGATCCGTCTTTTACATCTCCAGTATCCTTTTCCTCTTCAGTAGAGACTTCTAAGTCTTTAAGAAATAAAAGACAAAAATTAAGAAATGAGAAACTTTCTCTGTCTAGCCCTATGTCAAGGTGTGACTACCTTTGTCTTCTCTGGACACCTCCGAGGCTTTTTTCAGGCTGTCGCTCTGAGCCTTCCTCTTGACCTTGGACCTGGGCGCAAGGACCTCCGCCTCTCCAGACCTACTTCTCTTCCTCTTCCCCCTTCTGATGGAAGGTGAGCTGCTCACTTCAGCTCTGTCCCGCTTCTTCTTCCTCTTGGCGGGTGGCTTCTGCGGCTCTGTGGCCTCCGTTTCAGAGCCCTCTGAGGCGGCCCTGGGCCTCTTGGCCGTGAGGCCGCTGCTGTCCGGGCCCACGTCCCCGGCAGACTCTCCGGTCTGGGCGCTGTCCTCCTTTTTCACGCGCCCTTTCTTCTTCTTCTTCCTTTTCTTTTCTTCTGTAACGACACTGCCGTTAGTTTTCACTTTCCTTAAACTGCACCTAACTTACATGCGACAGCGTGTAACTCACCAGCGACTCTAAGGGCAGGAATGGGCTTATTTTTCACGGTTTTGGGAAATATGCCAGGTTTTCTTGGTGCTTCCTCTGGTGGGTTGTTAAGAAACTGAAATGAAATCGGCACAAAGTGTTTGTTGCCATTTTTAAAAAATACTTGCTAACTAAGCCTTTGCTTTTTCTTTTCAGGTCCTGGGCCTACCTCTATAGCTTTGGCTGCCTGTTCTTTTGTTTCAAATTCCACGAAG